TCGGCCTGTAAGTTTTTGGTGATAAGTTTTCAGTTATGTGTATAATGCTATCGTAGCAGTGTATTGCTTGTCAAGCTTGTGCCAGTTTTACCGAATAGAATTCCCGTCCACCCTGTCTTAATTTTGTCTAAACATTTATTTTCGGACGACTAATTGAACCTGTTCCATTAAAGGGGTGCAGCGCGGCTCACGCAGTTTAGGCACATGCGACATCGTATTGGTGCTACATATGAAAGGGGAGGTCATTTCGCTTTTCTAAGAAATCTTTCTTTAACACCTTCTTTACCTCATCTTACTTAACACTTAAAAATGGTAAATTTGAATTTTGAATGCCAGAGCTGAGAGATCAGAATGATACACGTGGTTGCAAATTCACTCGTGCCTCACTATAGGGCTGTTGTTGATTGGGTAGGGTAATGAAAAGCTATATTAATATAATCTATAAAAAAACTGTAGAAATCTAAAGATAATAATCTATAAAAAGCTATCCTAATATAACTAATATAATGATATAACATAGATATTATAAGTAATAATAAAGTGATATAATAATAGCAATATAATAATTCCAAAATTACCCGGAATTACTGGTGGAAATATGTAGTAGTAAAATGTTGATCAGTCCTTTCGGCTATCAGCTATCAGCATTCTTTGTGATTGAATGTTCTTCGCTGTTCCTTCCGCGTTCCCATCATCCCATGCCGAAAAATATGTTGTTTCCCCCTATTTATCTTTTCTTTACCCATTATTCTTAGTACTTACTTTTTGCTAAGCAATTATGTTTTTTAGAAGTGCTGATTATGCGAAACAACAGCCAAATAAAATAAAAAATAAAACTAAATTCCTCAGAGCATATAATACTATCAGTGGAAGTCAGTTTATGGCTTGATACCTAACTTGAACAAAAAAAACTTTAAAAAAAAATGCAATATAAGGCGCTCATGTCCTTAGGGGGGACATTCAGAGCAGAGCATTCAAAAACCGCTGGTAGGTGACTAGGACTAAGGACACTAGGACTAAGCCCAGGACTGGGAATAAATACAAGAGAGAACGATGGTTGCTCCCAAAATCCTATCCCCTCCCTAAAGCTTAGTCCCAAGTTCTATCAGTGGCCCACTCATTTCAATGTCCCCCCTAACGACATGAGCGCCCATATAATAATATTGAAATCTAAAATCAACTTTTGGTGTTACTGACAAAATCGTTCAATTACATATAAAATCGATAATTTTATTGAAATCTTTGATTTGTTCTTGTACCAGCGCGAATCGGTCGTGTTACAGCATACTCTGTAATTGTAGACTAAATTGCTACTATCAGTCTGTGTCGCAGTTTAAGGCTCGTTTAGTTGTGGACAAATTCGATACATATTGTACGTAACTAGGCCAATCGCTATGGACCGACATGCACGCATAATTGTTGAACCAGTCCATGCCACAGTCACCAACCTATCTGCTCCATAAGTGCTTATCCGTTGGCCTTACATGAACACCATTTTTGGAAAATTTCATTTTCGTTAAGTTTAGTAATCGTTCAGTAAAGCAGAACAATGACTCGACCTTTCCATTGCTCCTGGAATGCGCCGTGAACTTGAATTTTCATTCATCACAAGAAACAGCATGTTGTATTTACAGCTGCCCCCTTACTTCGCCCATGGTTTGGGTTTGGGACCTTGTTTCGTGACCATATTACCATACAACTATGCTGTATAAATTCGTCTCGAAAGACAAAATACTCATCTCTGCGGTCCTGTGTTTCTGTTTTATCGAGCCTGTTCTTGTTCTTGAGTTCTTGTTCTGTCTGAGCGAACACTATGCTGATTGCCACTTCACTTTCGCCCTCCCTTTACTCCATACAGTCTCAATCTTGCATTTGAATCAACAGGTTGGAAAATCTTTTGTCTCTTTTGAATATCTTTTCTTGACCACTTATACTTTTTGTTAATTCGTGCGCTTTACGTGTATAAAGGATAAAGGATAAAGCATTTGCCGTTGATCAATCCCTTTTTGGGATGCGGCACGCATTCTACTTCCATTTGTACATTCGTAGTGGCGTTTGAATGCGATGTGGCCTATACAATGACTTGCGGGGGCCAGCCGATGTACAAGTCAGTGTTTTATCCTCCCAGACAAGTCTGGTACCAATTAACCGACCCCGGAGGGATGGAAGGCTTGGTTGGCCCGGGCGACTCACGACCCAGGATTTGATCCCCGGACCGCTCGCGTGGTAAGCGTGCCACTTGCCACTACACCACTTCCGCCCAGTTATAAATAACTTTAAATACCAACGCAGTGATAAACTTTCTCAATTTGATTTATTTATTTGTTTATTTGTTCGTTAGTCGATCACACAAGGAGCAATACACAGTAATTATCGAGCATTCTACAGCCGATCGACATAGCTCAATTGTCTAATCGTAAGAGAGAAACGTTTGGATAAACAACTCCATAAAGACTTCAAAGTGAGTGCCAGTTAATTTTGAGGAGAGCTATGGTATGCCCGATAGATTCATATAGACCGAAGTTTTAGGAAACCACAATAGCCACGGAGCCCTGAAAACAACCGACTACCGAGGGTGCAGCTCCACAGGGGCGGGTGCCAACTGCACCTCTTTGATCCAAACAGCAACCCCAGGAGCTGTCTCAGGGGTGCTTACAAAATCTACTGAGCTCACAAAGCAAACTTCTCCGAAACCTGGTCGTGAGTGAATGTCAGTAGCAGTGTGGGACTCTTCTCACCCTCAGCGAAGGAATCATCTCCTCCGTAAAATTCTTCCCGAGGTTGAACTTATAGCGAAATGAGAATTGGTCTTGACGTTTTCAGCTGTTATCTCAAAAAGGTATTTCCCGAAATTATCCATGACATTCCACGCTTCGTAGCTCACTCAGCATGATTTCGCCCTTACTCCGAGCATTCCTTAACGATCATCAATGATGCGCTTTTGGCAACTTTCTTTATTTGGAGCATGTCTTGTGCCTTACTAGGTTGCTTGGTGGCACATTTATTTCAATGGCCTAACGCTTCGTCCCAATCGTCGTCTTCAGAGGCCGTCGGTTCCACCCACTGGGAGTGATGGTCTGCTACCAACAGGCCGCGCGTGAACCGCCGGCCTGTGAAGACGGCAATTCTGTCGAAACGTTAGGCCATTGAAATAAATGTTCCTCCAAACAGCCTCGTAAATCACACGAATTTACCAAAGTGAAATGCCTTGGTTACAAGAAGAGAGGAGTTGGAGAATGTCTTCTTTATATCTTTTTGAGACCTTTGCTGATGCTATGAATTTCTTCAGCGCTTGATGTTTATTCAACTGTTTTGGGAATTATGCACGCTTCACGGGTCACTAAGTGGTGATGGACTGGAGTGCGAAGTGTTTTGTGTTGACGTTACGGTAAACCGAATGATCTGTTTGAGTAATGGCAGGCGACAAATCACTGCGCAACATTTTTGATGCATGAAAACCGGACTTAGCGGTGGAGCGGAGAGAGTTGGTGAATCGCTGGAATGAACAGGGCAGTAACGACAGCAATTGTCGAGAACTATTTTCGAGTTTTCATGTTTTCTATCAATTTTTGAGCGCGACATTCGTGGTCGGAAAACTAATTTATGGATTTTACTCCCCAGTTGATAGATGGTTTATTTCCTAAACCCGTAAAATCGCTTTTTTCAGGCCATCGTTTTGAACAAATTGCTGCTTAAGGTGATTTATTCATGATATGTCAAAAAGCTACTAGATATGACTCTCCATAAATCATATTACCACGACATCTAGCCATAAGAGCAGCACATGAAATTGAGGGAAAGACTTGAAGCACTGAGGCCCACAGGCGGGTTTTCGCGCGCTGTAGTCGGTACTTATTTTGTTCTAAGAGTTGCCAATGCCAAATCAGCTCAATTTTTTTCAATTTTTTTCTACTAGTTGATTTGTCATTATGTGGATTCTATTGGTTCAGTTTATATACTGTAAGGAGAGTTATTTCACACCACTGCAACAGCAGCTTACCTTGGCATAACCGCTTCGCCTACAGCGATCTTCACAAAGTTAGCCTATCTAGAGATTCTTGAACAAGGCTTGTCCAAAAAATTCCATCTATATCATGCCAAACGAAAGCAGCTGCACGACTTCGGATATTTGATAGGTTCCGATGGGCCACGGCCCTACAATATCACTATCCGCCACAACCACTGAGCCCGCCCAACTCAATCATGCTATATTTCGTTCTGCGCTACTGAGAATCCAGAGATTGCAACTTTGACTTGTAGATGGTTTTCCGTTGTTCCATTGCAGCATTAGCCCCGCCCACAAATCAGTGTTATTTCGCTATGCCGCTACTGGAAACAGGGTTATATTTTTGGCCTTGCGCATGGTTTCTTCCGTTTTTCCATTGCTGGCGTTACACTTCACATGCCAACTCTCACTTGCAAGCGTAATAAACGTACGTCAGTTGGATCCCAGACCCTGCCTTCGAGTTATTGAAGAGAAAAGAAGCTCGTTGTTAAATCGGAAGATCTATGCTCAAGCCCAAATGTTGGGAAGAAAATCATGTACGGCTTTAAAGGGAAAATCGTAAACAGAGGAGCCAGACAAAAGAAGTGTACGGCTTCGGGCCTGAAAAGCCGTGTTAAGGACTTATTGCACGTTTACTGCAGCTGTTTGAAATGAAACTCCGGACAATTCGGCTGCGTTGAGTTCAGCTGTGTAAGCCTCATTAACCAGCGTTTTTGACTAAGCAGTCAATTCCCTCTGAGCGGACGGGCAGATGGACGCCAGTAACGTCAGCAAAGTTCAAAAGCCGACATTTTTTCCGCTCATCGTCCCATATGGCTTTAATTCTGGCTTCGACTCATAGCTGATATCTGTTCACTTACAAGCTAAATATAAACACAAATAAATATTCCGTCGAATTTTTTCTCATTTCCCAGCGTCTCATTTTCGCCATGTCGGATTTGTGCGTGAAATCGTTTCACTAATTTGCCTCTGAAAATTTCTGCGTGTTTCAGCGATGGGCCTTGAAGGCCATGAGCCGCTTCCTACGGACGAGAGTCACACCTTGGCGCCTACATCACGTAAGAACTCTTGATTAGCTTTATAATATAGTACTGTTAACAGATGTGTAAACATGAAGGAATGGAAGATATAAGATTTTTAACTGCAATCGAATCCATTTCTCAAAACACTAAAAGCAAGAAGGACAAATTTCAGAAATATTTATTTTTATAATTTTCACTGAAGTAGTTCATAGTTCTGAGTAAATAGGCTGAATAGTTCCCGGAAAAGCTGTTGCCAGCTTGTCTACGTCATATTTTCAGGTGAGGAAGAACCAGATCGGGGACAATGGACGGGAAAATTCGATTTTCTGATGAGTATGATCGCCTATGCCGTGGGACTTGGTGGGTTGACTATCTTACTTATCTGTTGCTTAACCACTAGAAATGGTTCTTGCACGGTACTGGGCCTTATTCGTATTGGGATGTTCTACGTGGAGCCCCCATGCACAGTTTCCGCCACCTTCCTGTATTATGTGGTCTAAGGGGGGAGTGCATATACCTTCTCTTTCGGAAGACGGGTACAGACTACCCACTACAAGTGACGACGACCAAGAAAAAAATGGCCTTTTCTTTTTTTCTTGGCCGTCGTGACTCGTGGGGGTCTCACCACGCTCTCTCGTTTCTCGAAAGTCATTAGTAGCTAATCTTTCGGTATTGAGAGCTTTGCTTAAAGCAACAGTTCAGGGAGGGTCCGAAAATTTCAATGCCACTACTACTGAGGGATACACGAGCCCTAGTGAAGAACATATGCAGTGGAAATAATAAACGAACTTACCTCAGAAACTCAAAAACAGGGTGGAAAGTCCCTCAAACATGGGTGTTCTTGGGGATTTCCCCAATCCCGCCCCCTTGCCGGCCGTCATTGGACGCGTCGGCAATCGTGCTCGTTTTGGGACCACAGGGAAAATTGATTGAAAAATGGAGCGCGTTTACAGCGGGCACGTTCAGACAACTCGTCCAACGTGCGTCTTTATCCATTGCTGAGCGGCAGAGGGAGAGTACCTGTCTAAGACCCTCCCCGACGTTTTTTTCCAGTTTTTCATACATTAATCGTCTGGTTTTCATCTACAACTTCATTATTGGTGGTTTTTTCCCGCGAAACCGTTCCTGAACTGTTGCTTTAATTATTCCGGTTATTCAGCTCCACCCGGGGATTTGAACTCCGCCGCTTTCCGGAAAATCACAGTCATCACATTCATTCTGGAAGAGTATCAAACGGAGATGATCTGCTACTATTTTCTCCAGTCGGTAAATCGCTCCCATGCACAGCTTCATAATGGATGACTGTTTCGCCGTGCCTGTAGACAAGATGCAACCTGTGTCTGTTTCTTGGCAACGTTGCTAGATGGTTTCTTTGAGTTCAGGCAATGTATGGCGTTTCCCGTACCTATGTTTCAAGAATGGAGGTGGATCATTCCTTGTTGTATATGCGATATTTTTCTGCCTGGCTGCTGTACCAATTTTTATTATGGAAGTGACCATAGGACAATATCTACAACGAGGCGCCATGGAAATGTGGAGAATGTGTCCGATTTTCAAAGGTAATTGAACACTTTTATTCGAATTTAGTCACTGGAAAGTTCCATATTGGCTATCTGTTTCGATTTATTTTGAGCAAAAAACAGAATCTAAAAAATACAGACAGGAGGTGGAGAGGTGATAGAGAAGAGAAAGCAATTTCAGGAGACTTTCAGTACTTTTTCTACATCATGAACTCGGTGCCATGCTCAACGCCGCAGGGATGAATGATGGTTAGCCTGGAGACGATTCAATCCAGAGTTCCCGTCCTACACAGTGTCCAGTTAAAGTCATGGGTCGGGATTAGGTGCAAAGAAGTAGTTCCTCCCAGAGCTAGAGAGAGGAGTCTCCCGAAGCAGGAGCCGCTACCCTGTCGCTACTCGAACGTGCGCAGCAATGGCGCTAAGGCCTTGCCATGGCCAGGGTGAATATCGGTCGAGGATTCCTCAACGGCACGTCGAGGATTTTCGCCTGATCAGTTACGTTCTCTCGCGCGGACATTCACACTCGCCATGCGCGAGCCGTCTGTGCTCTCCGCGCGTACGTTCACTCTCGGCACTACTCTCGCACAGTAGAGAGCCATGGTCGAGGAATCCTCGACCGTTATTCACCTTTACTTGTACGCTGCCGGCGCTGCCACTCTATAGTTCGCAATAGAAAAGGCGTTTGACTCCGCGTATGACGTGCTCACTCGTATTTTCCCTCTCCTCGAAGCGCTGTGTCCCTCCGTCATACCACGGCCGAATTAACAGAAAAAATTTCAGTGCTTTCTATTACGTTTTTTTTTGATTTTGCTCTCCACCAGTGGCCCTCATTGCCCTTACTGACTTGTTTTTGAAGAGAATAAGACACCAATTCAACCGCGACCCGTGCCTTTAAGTATCGCTACCTAACACAGCTCTATCTAATATGCCAGAGATGCTTAGCTTATTGCGTAAAGCAGATGATCATAACCGCTTTGCACACGATTTAGGACTCACAGTGGAAGCGAGGTGTTCCAACCCTGAGAATCATACGTGCAATTCATAGTAAGACTCTTTTCAGGCGTTGGTATCGGAAATGTTGTGATCGCTTTTATGTGTATAGCGTATTTCTGTGTGATCGTCAGCTGGGCGATTTTCTATATGATCTCGTCGTTTGCCAGTGTATTTCCATGGGAAACATGCGATAACTACTGGTATAATTTTTTCCGAAAATTCTTTTAGTATACTTTCTCTATTTTTTGTTGTGAAATAGGAACGACCACACGTGTGTTACGGGAAAAGAGAGCCCAGCCGCGTTAGCGAAACTCTCGCGAAATCTCACCAGTATGGGAATGATGACGCAAACGTCCGTGGAACAATTCTGGGAGTAAGTGAAAGTAACTAACTACTTACTAGTCATAATCCATGACTTGAATAGGAGTACTGTAATCCACAGTAATCGTTCAGAAACCGTGTACTACAGCAGACGTCGTCGATCGAAAACTTTGGAGGCATACAGTGGGAGCTGCTGGCGATTATGTTCCTCGCTTGGGTTATTGTATATTTTGCCCTATGGAAAGGAATCACGCAAGCCAGAAAGGTGGGTAATTTTCCTCGAGATTTTTCCCAATCAGGTCAGGGCTATCATTAAAGCGCTACAATTCAAAAAACGCTCAGTAGAGCTCAAATAGATGAACGAAATTTCCGGACGCTCTGGGGATTTTTCCCCTAAAGCTCGAAAAT